TCTTTCCCTGTCAGGCAGCCTTGCCATGCCACTTTATAAAAGCCCAGTGGACAAATAATCTGAGCCACCTGGTGCATCTCGGGTCTCAAGGTACTGCACACCAACACAGTCCACATCCTTGAAATCCCAATGGGCAGAGGAGTTCCTGAGGACACTTGGACGCTCCTGGCAAACCTAGCAGCTCCGAGCCCATGTAGTGGGGGGACGGCACACAGATACTCTGGTTTCCATCCTCTCCCCTACCCCAAGCAGAACTCATTCCTCATCACCCTATGTCTTGCCAAAGGCACCAACATTTGAGCTCAGCTCGATTGCTCAGAACTTGGAAGTTCATGAACCAGTTCAATTCTTGCACTTCCTTAGTTACCATCTTCAGCATTAACCCTCTGACATCCCCGGCGGCTGTCACTGGGCAAGCTGCTCTGACAGGGAACAGTCATCTCTAGCCCTGTCACTGCCAAGGCTGGAGACATAACCACAGCATGTCTCCATCCCCTAGACTACAGCATCCATGTTTACTCCAATCTGCAATGCTTCAAAAAATTATCCCTTGGGATTTTGATGGGCCTCTTACAATTTTCCTGGGGAAATAGAGCATGCTTCCACTTGAACCCTGGGCAATGAAAACTGGGAAGGAAAAGACAGAGGAGAAGGAACAGGAAAAAATGTTATATTCCCTCTGGAGAAACTGGTGAGTGTAGCAGGGATGTAATGAATCCCAATAAAACAAAATGCAATCAAAAAAGATTCTTTAACTGGTGACCAAACTGAATGATTCATGACCCACAGACAACTTAAAGAAAGATAATCAGATAACTGAGAAACCTCCCTTTTGGTTCCAGCTGCCGTCAGGACTCTTCTGAGAGAATACACGCTGATTTGTGCTTGGCTACAAGTACCTCTGCACTGAGAGTAGGATTAGCTCACATAAAGAAAGACAGATCAGGTTTGGCCAGAACATAAAGTAAGAAAACTCTATGGAGACTGAACTGACTAGAGGAGAGCTCTTTAGGTGATGCTCTTCCCTTCAAGTCAGTGATAAAATGGTGCCCTTGTTCAGCAGTAGGGACAGTTGGCTGCTGGCATGTTATCTGTAAAGTTGATGGTAGCACTCAAAAGCCATGGGGGCATTAAAAGTGATATAACATCTGTGAAGAGTTCCTGGGCAAAATCCAAGCTGAGAAATTGCCGTTTTCACTTATGCTTGAGCAGTATTTTCTAACAACTAAATTCTGCCTTCAACCTCACTGAACTATAAAATGCACCTTCATTTCTGCTCTAATTTGAGGTTTTACTGTGTATTATTAGACAGCTGCATGCTGCAGCCCCAGAAGCAACTGTCCTTGGGTGGCTCTGGAGTACATCCCTGAATTCTTTACTGAGCTCTATGAGATGCTTTCTGATAAAGGACAATATACAGGTGTGAAATGGTCTTGTCATGTTGGTTTATCCATATTCACAAAACCAGTCCAGCATACAATGCATACTGTGCATTGTTGCAAGTTGTGTCCAGCCTAGTCAGGCAATCTTCCTCCTGCACCTGGAACATCCAGCTATTCCTCGACTTGACCCAGACAGGGCTGCGCCTCCCTCCATGTCCCTACAGAAAACAGGGTTCACGACGAAAACAAAATTCCGACCAGCTCTGGTTGCTCATTATTAGAAGCTTGTCAGTTAAATAAGCCAAAGCAGATACAGCCATTCTGCCATCCTGCAATGCAAATATACTCCCAAGGTAATTTTTGATGAAAACCTTATGTTTGCACTAGGTCTGCTCAGGCTGGTTCAGATTAAACACAAACCAGTGCCAATTGTATTACCTCGTTATTAGCAGACACTGGCAGCAGCCGTGCGTGGAGAAATATATGCCTGGCTATGGTACTTGCGGTCACATCATAACTTATAGGTCACGTGCTTCAGGATGCACAGAAGGATTACTGCCTCTTCCGCAGCTTTCCCTTACTATGAGAGATTACTGCTTGCAATTTCATCCAGCCCAGCTTCCCACCCACCAGACACTGTGCCAAAGCTGTGCCCGCTCTCTTGGAAAAGTCGACAGCCCTCAACAGGAATATACATGCACGAGAGTCAGGCTGTTTCTGGGACCACGGGGCCCGATTTACATCCCAGGGAGGTCACTGGATTTGGGCCATACTACCAAATGTTGCTCACTCGCAAATGGGAGAGAAAGGAGAAAGCTATTGCTGGTTCTCACTACATATTTCAAGTTAAACTGCAGAAAAAAATAAAGACAATCCACTGGAGAAAAAAAATAGCTATAATCCATACAGCATTAATTCAGTTTGCAGGCTGGGTAGATCTTTCACATAATATTCCCTTATTCTCTCAACGCCTAAGAAATTTGCCGTTATGCTGTCTTTTTTTTTTTTTTTTTTAAATGGATGGCCCATTTGACATTCACATAACACTGACTTGTGTTTAGTCTCAAAATCCTTTACTCAAAACACTATAATAACGGGCAGGTTAGACATCAGAACAACAAATGAAAAACAACACAACTGGACCATATCTTTAGAGTTCTTTGTAGGAATTGCTGACCTGGAAGAGATGACGAATTGCCTCCCATCTTTGCAGAAAACATGCTGACCTTTTTGAAAGATCTCAAACATGAATTTAACTCCTTCCATCTGTAGCCCATTACTTCACATTTTAACTCCACCTCTCCACTTACAGGTCCCTGCACACTAGGAATGTATATGAAAGAGTGCCAAAGTCTCAAGTCCGTGAGACCAAGAGTCAGGGAACAGCTGGAGCTGAATCAGAATTGGAACCTTAAGCTACTGCACTCTTTTTCCAAAAAAGCACAGAGTTTCAGTAAAACAGCCCATGAATTGGCACCACGCTGAGTCTGGCCTTTGCAAAAATCTAAAGAGGAATCACCCAGTCTGTTAGGAAAGGCCAGCAGAACGTAACACGGTGCAAACAACAGGTTTGGAAGAAAATGTTTTTAAAACCAATGGATTTTTTTTCTTTTAGGTATGAGATCATTTCAGCAGCTTATCTTCTCCATCCACCAGTTTTTATGTTGCTTTCCTTCCTTGCTCTAGGGGAGAATCTGAACATTGTGCACAAAGGCTATCATCCTCTTCCCTCCTTCATCTGGGGGGAGGACTGCCTTCCTCACAGCATGATGAGCAAACCTGTGCTCACGGACACCCTCTCACACAGAAGCGGCAAAATCACGGAAGAAAGTTTGTTCCTATCAGAATCACAGCCTAATTTATCAGCCAAAAAAAGCCTATGAGCTAAGCCTAGGAGTTTGCTGTCTTTAGCACACTCAAGCAGTGAGCAGGTTTCATTTTAAAGCAATGCATTTTAAGAGCCCTCCCCAAGAGCTACTGAGGAACACAAGGAATGCAATCTGGATTTGAATTTGCAGATTTATTAAGTTGCTTTCTTCTTCTCTTAAACTTCTTTGGTGCCTAAAAGTTTCTACTCTGTGCATGCTGGCTGGTCTGGTTAATCTAGTTGTGTTGTGTAGCTCATCGAGGTATTTGACTCGGATATCCTGAGAGAGGTAAGGGAGCTTCACTCCCACTGCCACCCTCTCTCATGAGCTCCATTCCCACCAATCTTCCCATCAAAGGATGCTGGAGAGTGCATCAGATTGCAAAGCATCCCTTTTGAGATTGGGGCTGCATCCAAGACTCTCTAACTTGGCATTATTTCATCTAACTTTACACAGTGTTTCCATGCTGTCATGGCCTCCTGCACAATGAAGGAAGAAGGTCTGATTAGCATTGCATCTTCCTTGCACATTTTAGGCATCCAAAAAGTCTCCCTTACATTTCTGACCAAGGACAGTTTAAAGACAGTCCTCTCACTCAGCTCAGCTATGATTGTAGCTTTGCAGCAGTTAAAAAGTCCCCCCTGGCTCCAGCATCCTGATGCTGCATTTCTGTTCCCGTTAATGGTGGGTTCTGTTTCTTTTATTACCTCTTAGTAATCGTTTGAGGAGCTCTCACAGCAGGACTTTGTTCAAAATTATTCCACCCTTCAAAACTTCTCCTTCCAAAACATCAACGCGTCATTACAACACAGCACAGCTCCCATCGACAGCATCTTTTACTGGCAAGGAGCAGATAAGGCCACAGAGTCAGGCTGCAGTGCCTGCGTCGCTTGGTTAGGCATACTGGTCATGTTCCACTAAGCCCTTCACTTCAGCATCACTGGGCCAGATACTGCCCAGAAATGAGCAGAGAAATGTTGTGGCAGCCTTCTACATCCCTAGTGAGCTCAGGCTAGCTTCGTGGTGGACAGGGAGCAGGGAATCTAGTTGGGCAACCGCCTCCGTGGATATAAGAAGGACCCACAGGCTCACACGGGCAGCGAACTACTCTGTTCCTAGGAAAGTCAAGGAAGAAGCACGCAGAAGAGATGGCCTGGGGTGCTTACACAGTGTAACGTGGTCTGAGAGTAACATTCCAGTGTAACATTCCCTGTGATAGAGGGCTTCAGCTTCTGAAGATGCTCTCAGTAGGGCTGCCACAAGACTTTTGGGTACCCCACAAAGGGGTCAACATGATGATTCTTCCTCCCAGCCCAGCATGGCTGAGGAGCAGGGATACGGCCACAGGCTCATAGGCTCTGTATCTTGCTCTGCTCCAGGCTGGTTACAATGAAAAGCTGAGCCATTACACCTCCCTGTATTTCAATTTTCCCCACTGTCCTCTCTCTGCCATGCCTATGTTGACAATGGTTGCAATGCCCTGGGAAAACTACTCTTCAGTGGTAACAGAGAAAAACCAACTGCGAGGACTTACCATCCATGTCAAGGCGTTGCATGATAATTGCTAACTCCACCTCACTGGGCATGTATCCCAAGGAGCGCATTGCCATGCCCAGCTCTTGCTTGGATATAAAGCCATTCCCATCCCTGTCCAATACCCGGAAAGCTTCACGGATTTCTGCAATTGAGAAGGAAGAAGAGAGGAGTTATCATGGTGGAGTACTCTCTGGTCAACACATCTGTACACAAAGGACAAAGATACAGCATAAATTGCCTTTTCTAATGTTAATGAGGCATATTTGATAATCTCCAGGCAGTGTACTCAGGATGTGTTCATACATGCATACATACAAGTGTGTGTATGTGTGTATGAGCTCATTCATGCAAACATGTATACAGACGGACATATATATAGAACTGCATCCACTCCCACAAATACAGAACATTATCTGCTTCATATTTTCTGTGATCAAATATCATTGCAAAAATAATTGTTCGATACACAATGAATTCCTTTTCTTTCTGCAGTGTCTGCCTTGGATTGCTGTAGGCATGGGTGAGCCATCATGTAGTAATGCCTACCCTGTGTACAGGTGCCCAACAAACCCGCACCCAGGGGCGTCTCAAACAGCACTTCTCTAAGACCCTCAGCATACCTGCAAGCTGGATTGACTTTGTATCTTGCTGGTGTACCAAGCTCTGGTACCTCGGTGAGATTACCACCTTCTCCAGCAAAAGCAACAAGGAGAAGGGTCTGGCTGACAGCCAGTGGGACAGCGAAAGGAAAAAGTTGGGTACCAACTGCCTCCCTTATGGGGTCCAGAGGTCTGTAGCCAAAGCATTGATATGCATTTTCTCCCTTGTCCGATAAATGCTGATGTACATCTTTTAAATTGTACCTGGGCAATTTCCATCTCTCACTGCTCGTCATAGCTTCTCTCCAATATACAACTGTTTTACAGCTATAAACAGCCTCAGATCAATAAAAATACTGACAGCCTCAAAGGAATCACTTCCATCATTCTTCCCAAGCCTGGCTCAGCTTCTGACATCTGACTTTGTTTTGTTTTTTAATTCTGGCATATCCCCCTCTGGCCTTTAATAGCCACTTTGAACTCGTGCAAAGCCCTGAACAACCTCTGCGTGGCTGTGGCCTGCCAGGGCCTCAATAGTGCTGCATGTTTCCCACATCTCACAGATTTCAGGGCTTTCTTAACTTGAAGTCCCACCACCAAGCTCCCCAGATTAAGTGGTTCTGCCTGGTGAAAATGCCAAACAGAGCAATTTCAACATTTCAGACAGCTGGGAGCCTGTTTACTCAAAGGAATTTGGTTGGAGGTGAGGAGAAAGAGAGGAGCTGATCTTTAAATATTGGTTAAATAGTCATGCCGTGGAGAGGAAAACACAGGATGTTTTGTTATAGATCTTTTGGGAAGATAATCAACAATTAATTGGTTCAGCCATTCCCTTTTGACCTTTGCTGCCATATATACATTGCTCATTTAGAATATTGTTAGTTTACCTTTCTTGGGTGCTGGCTACCAAAAGAGCAGCTAATTAAGGCAAACCAGCTACGATCCTAACTACTTTTCAACACCGAAACCTATACAGCACCCGGGGAAACACAAATCAAGTCTCGTGGACTTTGGAGCAAACGTTCACCAAGAGAGCCTAACGTCCACACGCTATTCCACTGACTCTGCTTCCTGACAGGGATTTACTGTCCATGTCCCACCACAGAGGCTGTGGAAATCTTGTTGCTATATAGAATGTTTTGAGAGATGAAGTGCAGTCAGGAGCCAAAGGAGAGTGAGGCTATAGGAAAAATCACCATGGTGGGTCCCACAGCAACATTGCTGAATCAGAGCAGTCCAATCATTATGTGAAAATATTTCATCGGGGGAAAGCGGCAAAGCGAAAACTTTCAACAGAAAGCAGCAGCTTTTTTTTTTTTTGGGGGGGGAAATTTTTGGGGGGGGGGGGAACCTAATTAAAAAATACCCTATTCTCTATCAGGAAGCAGACTGGATAGAAAAAGTTTGCCCAGCCCTGGACAGTTCAAGCACTAGCCTGAGACAGGAAAGCATTCTCAGTCTGGCCACAGACTCCCAGCACGTCTCTCCTCTCTCTCTCCTTTGCTCCCCATGCATAAAGGAAATAATAGCACCCTGCAGGGAGGCTACTTAAAAGATAATGGATGATCCACCCGGGGGAAAAAGCTGAGGGTATCATAACGCACCAGGAAACCGTCTCAGTGATGTCCTTGCTAACATGTTATTTAAAGCTTTACAATTCAAAGGCAGCTTCTAAATCACCTCACATCAAAGTTCACACACCTCCCTTGACAACTCTAGTGCTTTAGCAAAGTCTACTTCAATTTAAATGTGCTGCTTTCCACTATGTGTAATACCCTGGTGATATGCCAGGGCCAGGGCACTTCCGTAACCTACTGTTTAATCTTCACCACAACTGTAGTTAATCATGATGAGATACAATCAATTTTTAATCCAGATAAAGAGCCCATTGATGTCAAAAGGGAAGATCTTATTCATTTCAGTGAATATCAGACCAGATCTGTGGTATCTATACTGTGGTTCATGCATGAATCAGCTGTGGCTTCTTTAAACTTAAATGCAACCCTGGATCCACCTTCTCTCCCTGCCAGCCCAAGCAGTGTAATCTACTTGATACGAAAAGCCGGTGAGGTTGTTCAAAGCAAGCTCAGTTGGAAGTATCAGTACATAATGCAAAGAGCCTTTGGAGCAAGAACGAATCCCATTAGACACTGCCAGCTGTAGTGAAATCTGTTTTCATATGCTGTGCTGAAAGCTAAAGTGCAGTAAATATTACATTGAAATCAATTAATTTTAAAATAAACTTTTGACAGCTGAAAAAGAAAGAACTAAAAATATTGCCAAGAACTGAGAAAGTATTTTAGAAAATAAAATATGAATCTACCTTCAGAAAAGTTTACGTGTGAGTTAGACTCATCCAAATCACATGAACAGGTTACATTTGTACAGTGGCTTCACCATAGTATTTCTGAATCTAACCTTCTAGCGAGTATCCTCTCTCCAGATATACCGATTTCAAAAGGGGCATTTAACAGCAACAGCAATATTTGAGCCTTGATCAGTGAAAAATACTCACAAATTTGGGTTCCAGCTCTGCGTCATACCTTTCAGAAATCTGAACTTTTGACCAAGCCTGAAACATCCTTCACATGCCAACATCTGACCCCAGATGGAGGTTTTTTTTCCCCTCATCACTCTATAAATACCACTTTGTGCAGAGGTACATTTGAAGAGCTATTTATAGATTGAACACCCTGTACAAGAATCAGCTATGACCTCAGTCAGTGCCTCCTTTTTATCTTTATATGTAACACCACCTTCTTATCAGCTTTTTTTACAGGAATTCCTGCTCCTCTGATATACCCCCGGTTGCTGTCCTGCGCAACAGCGAAGGTGACAGCCACCAGGCTGAGCGTCCTCCTGGAGCACAGCCCTGCCAACACTCCCCAAAGTGTTCCAGAAGAGCTGATCCCAACAGCGGTCCATGAACCAGTGGCACCCTGCCCGGCCCTTACCTTTATTTCCGGCTGTTAAATTTCATTACCCAAAGCTAAAAATACATCAGTACTTTCCCCATATGACTTTTCCAAACAAGTCGCCATGGCAACTGATGCTCCTGGCTCAGAACTGGTTGTGGATGGGGTCCATGGAGTAAATCTCTCAACAAAGATGTTGCTTGGGCTTAGAAGAAAGTTTGGGACCTCTTCCATTCAGGTTGGAAGTAGCTCTGCATGGGGATGCTTTACCCTGCACAGTATCACAGAAAGTAAAACCTTGTTTTGTTTTTATAAGGATGAGTAAAAGCTATATAACAAGGAGTGGAGAGCAAAGGGATGCTGCCCCAGAAGCTGACTTGGCTCTTCCTATCCTGGATGGCAGCAGCCTTCACATCGAACTAAGTACATACACTCTGATTACACTTCCCCAGGAGCATTAGTAAATACCTGTTCCCCACTCCATTAGACAGCATCATCTTTTACTCTTGAAAACACGAGGTTGAAAAAGAAGCATAAAATTAGTGGACAAACAGAAAGAAGAGAAAATATAGAAAGATTTAAAATATGAAAAGTAGCCCATTTTGCTGGGGTTGGCACTGGACCAAGCCTCTGGAAACTTCATTTCTTCTCAGCTAGCCCTCTTACTGCTCTTCTCCATGCTTCTGTTTCTCCAGCCACTGGGAACAGGGATAAGGCTCTTCTGTGCAAGGTGATTTTGGTACAAAAGCACTCATACAACAGGGAGCTATTAGTGGTAGTATTAAACCATCTTACTCCTAGAATTAATTCAAATAGGATCAACAAGAAATGCTGTTGCACTCTTTGTCAAATGGACCACAGGCAATGCATAACGCTAAACAGCAGTCAAGTGAACAAGGGAGACAAGCACCTAACAGGGATCAGCGTTCGGTCCCGTCCTATTTAACATCTTCCTCAACGACCTCAAAGAATCAGTAGACACAACATTAATTATACAAGGCTGGAAAGTGTCACCAAGACAAAAAGTCTAACAAGAAGAGAGAAGTCACATGGTGCAAAAGAGGCAAGATTTAGAAGCAAAAAGGCAGCCCAAGCAAGGCTTAGCTGGACAAGTGCAGCCAAGAGATGCCAAAGCCTGAGCCTTGCAAAAAGCCTAGGCTGTGGAGGGAGGGACCGCGGAGCAGCAATGCCGAGAGAAACCGGCAGGGCCCACGCCGGTTATTTACCGACGGAGTTCGCTTTTTTTCTGAGATTCCTTTCAAGGTTCTTTGCGGGTTTAACCGGAAACATTTCCATCTCCTCGCTGCTCTCAGGAAAATTACCAAATCCACCCAAAAGAACAACCTGTGAAGAAAGTTAGACGTTTTTAGCCTTTTGTACCTTTTGGAAGACTCAGGGTGCTGATTCATCTCCCATTTAGTCAGTTTTAAAGGCATGTTTCTCAGGAAAGTTTAGCCTAGTGTTCTTCCCCAGGTGAGGATTTATGTTTCACAAGAGCTAAGAGCACAGTACTCATTTCTCCGAGTTATTTGAGCATGCAAAAGGTGTGTGGGGGGGTTGTTTTTAATTAATTCCCACTCTTCCCTCACATTTAACAGCTGCACCTTCCAGCTTTCCTATTAAAGCAC